ACATTAATCTCTAGGCCAATCGAACATTTTAATACAACTTTATTTAAATTAATATTTGTATTTATATTTGAAGACTATTTTTAAATTGGGATCTTCTGCCATAAACAAAGGGCTTTGGAGTCGTATAAAGTATCTAAGGTACCTCCTCTACCTTTTTTTTTTCAATAAACTTTTTTAACGAAAAAAAAACGTTGGGGGGGGGGAGGGTGTTGAAAAATCTACGTACTTTATAAGAGGGGACTTAAATGTACGCATGGTAACAGGGGGTAGGGGTGAAGTCAAATTTCAAAATATTTGGCGAACGTACTTTATGGACAAGTCCTAAGTAAAAAATGTTTAATAGATTTAGATTACTCTTTTATTTATTGCTACATAAGCTATTATAATATTGCTTGGGTAAATATTTGCCCTTCAGCATTAAAAAATATGTGTTAAACAAAAACAAGCCATTAGAGTTATATGTATTGCGCATAAATGCGCCCAATTCAAGCCGTTAGTCCGAGAAATTAAAGCTCTTATTAGGCCGGGTGAATAGAAAAAAGCAATTGCTTTTACTTAGTTTTTTTGGAGTAATTGCTCAGCTTTGCGTGAATAAAAATTTGAGCAAAATTGATCAAATTTTTATTCACGTAAAGTTGAGCGCTTTACTCCAAAAACACTAAAGACGAGTTTTCACTCATCCGTTTTTTCACGGGAACGGGAAAGGGACGGGAAAAATAATCACGTGGGCATGCGTAGAATAACTTTTAATATGTCTGAAGAAAAACTACGCATGCTCACGTGATTATTTTTCCCGTCCCTTTCCCATTCCTGTGAAAAAACGTATGAGTGGAAATAAATATTTGAGCAAAATTGCTGAAAAAATTTATTCATGTTAAGCTGAGCAATTACTCGAAAAACGCTAAGTAAAAGCAATTGCTTTTTTTATTTCTCGGTTAAATGTCAATGAGTTAAACCTGTTATTTATATTTAAATATCAAAAGTTTCCAAAATCCTTAATAACCGATTTCTAAAAATTAATCATAAATACTTTACGAGGTGCTCTATCCATTACTTTAGCTTACTTAAGTAAACTCTTAACACATCCGATTAGGGATCGTCTATAAAGTACGTTTGCTCGGAGAGAAAGATGAGGTCTGCAAACGGCGTTTCTGAGATAAGGGGGCAGTAGGTTAATTATGAAAGTATAGTGACACTAAATTTAAAAAAATATCATAAAATGTTGGGTGCGTAGGTTAAAAGCGTAGGTACTTTTAGGGAGGTAGAAAGTACTCAAAAAAGCGTACGGGAAATGCTTGAACCTGTCGTTCCTTTATTAATGAAACTTGTAAAACAAGAACAGTGTAAATTGTTTACAAATGACAAAACAAACTTTTTTAAAAAGTGATAATTCAGAGGCGTGTACAGGAAATTTTTTGGGTGAGCTTACAAAAGTATTGTCCCTCCTCCCTCTCCCTATATTTTTTTTTTTTTAGATTCGGTCAGATTATTTGCATTTTATTAAAATGTTTCAATAATTGTATAAATGACTTATAGCATCGCTAAAATGGTCGCTAAAGCTGAATTAATAATTTTGCAAATTAAAAAAATATATTTTTTTATAAATACTCAGCTAACGTTATGTATAATGTATACGGATTATAAATTTATATTGTAAGAATATATTAAAGGACAAAAAAACTTAAAGACAAGTGCTTTATAACACTTTAAAGTTGTATTTAAAGTTGTATTATGTTAAACTCAGTACTCAGTTGGGATGGTCTAACAAAGGAATATTGATAACCAATTTAAAGTAAATTGAAATGCACTTTGTAGGCTTGTTCAAAGCATGTTTGAAGGTGTTGATTAACTATATTTCTAATTGAAGAGACAACCCGACGGGCATTTCTTTTTAAAAGTTACGATCTAAATGTATTTTAAATGTCTTTTAAACGTCTTTTAAACATTAATGTTTAAAAGACATTTAAAACACATTTAGAACGTAACTTATAAAAACAAATGCTCGTCGGGAACATCTTTTAATGCTCAAATTCAAACTATAAAAAACATCATTATTACTTGCTTGCACGTTCGTGTAATTAAGTGTTATATCAAAAACATGTCTTGTTATACACGGTGCAATAACAAATTCAAAATTTGTAATTAACTTTAGTTGAAAAAGCAGTAGCAGAGATTAAATGTTCTATTGATATTTAAAGACATTCTTTAAGAAAAAAATCCACATGAATAAAAATCTTTTGTAAAGTATCCACGCCATGATTTTACAATTCATAATATCCAAAGAAAAATCAGTAATAGCTTTTATTAAAACACTAAACAAACAAATTTTTCCTTTATGTCTAATTTGGAACTTTTTGCACTAAAAAAACGTAATGATTGTATAGAAAAGGGCACAAAAATCATTTAAAATTCTTTTATAACTTAAGGAATAAGAAATAAGAAATAAACTTAAGAATAAGTAACCTTTTAAAAACAAGAGCGCAACAAAAACATTTCACTTTTGACAAAAAACACGTAATTTTCATGAACTTTACTCTCTTATATCTTTTTTTTATAGTAAAGCTAAAACCTTGAGGGTTTTTGCATCAATTAATTTGACTCTTTCCAACTATATATAGAAATATATATAGTTCCATATAAAACATAGTGATTTCTATATATAGTTGGAACTTCTTTCCAACTATATATAGAAATCACTATGATTTATATGGTTTCTTTTATATATTATTCATGTCTTGAGACCACTCTTGATTAAAAAAACTTGTCGCGGGATATGTTTTTTCAATAGTAGAGTTTGAAGGTAAGATTTCCTAATTACCAAAACACATCAAATTTGTTTAAAAATTTATATAGATTAACAAAAGGATAATGAACCTAATGGAATGAGGAACCTTTTTAAAATTTATACATAATTTTTAAGTTCTCAACGTTTAAAAACTTTTTAATTTAAAAAAAAAACTTTTTCTAAAAAGGTTCCCTGTGAAAAAAGCAAGTATAGCCTATCCTCTATTCAAATCAAGTATTTATTCATGATTTTTTGAAGAAATGGTACTTAGGAACTTTGTTAAGAAATTATGTATATTATGTTTTATTCCTTTGCGTATTGTTTGTTTTGATTTTTGATGTTTTTTATTTTATTTCGATGCCATTTCACGTCAAAGTTTCCATTCTTAAGGACGTTTTGTGAAAAAATTATCAGTTTTTTTCAATACAAAAAATGCTATAACTTTGGATCCAATTAACTTTTAATGTTGAAAGACCCCTCATTTTTTAAATCTTTTCAAGCTCTATACAACTATGTTAAATATATATAAATATATTGACAAAAAAATCCTCTGGAATGGCTAACAAAGGTGATAATAATCCTCATAAGTGATAAACAGTTTGGCTAAATAATAATATATACTTAATAAGTCCAAATTTAAAAAAACGTTGAAAGGGTAATCCAAATATAACTTTTCATATTTGAAACTCTTTCTTTCCTTATTTATTTATTCAAAACATAAGTAATGAATGAGATACGCAGTCTAGTGTAATAAAACTGGGGATGTCCATTTATATATTTTAATGTATACTTGTTGTTACTAAATAATTTTGTCTCCTGATGATTGTTAAACAATAAAACTTGATCAAAATTTTACTCAGGGTGTATGTCAAAAGGGAAGTCCAAAATTTGTTCTTATTGAAATAATCATTTTGATTTTTTTTAATTAACAAAAGAAAAATTTAAAAAAACAAAGTTCTATATAACGAAATAAAATATGTCAATTCAAGTTTCTAATTAAGTTGTACAAATCAAGAGTTATTTTAACCTCCATCAAAATATTGAAATGGTTTTTTTAAATAATCGCAAAATTATGAAATCGAAATATTATGCTTTCCGGTTTTTATTTTCTTTCATATAATTAACCGTACATAATTTGTTTAGTTGTTGCTGTAGCTTAGTTTTAATAGTTATAATATATATTTATAATTATATAGTAAAACTTTTATTTAACAATAAATAAATAATGAAAATTAACAATAAATACATAATGAAAAACTTTTATTTGATTTTTTAGGTTACGTAACAGTTATCACCTAGACACGTTGATGATAACTATAATTTTTTGATTGACATTGACTAGCTATAGATTTATTTTTTAAATAAATAAAATTAAGTTAAAGTTAACTTTAAAGCTAAAAATTTTACAAACTCGCAAGAATCATCATTAGCTACATAGCAACTATATTACAAACTCGCAAAAATAATCATTAGCTACATAGCAACTATATTACAAACTCGCAAGAATAATCGTTAGCTACTTAGCAACTATATAAAGCAATGCAGTTAATGGTGCTTAAAGTTCCATTGATTATTTGGTTGCGCTTCTAAATATATTACAACTTATACTAAAAATATATTTTTCGAAAAGTTAAAAACAATACCAAATAATAATGTGAAGTAAAAAATTCCCTTAAAACTGTTAGAGGCCTTACAAACAAAAAAATTATAATAAAATAAAAAGTTTATATTTTAGATGGTCTTGATTAAGCTAGTTCGTAACCATTTTGTCTGTTTAAGTCTTTCTTGTATATAAATTCAAAAGCGTTTTTTCTAAAAGGCGTTTTAAAAAGGTTTTTTTTATTTTTTATAAAACAATAAAGTCACATTTTTATTGTTTTAAGAAAAATAAAAAACAAAACCTTCTTTTGGTTTTTTGTTTGTTTATTGTATTTTACTATTACAAAATTATTCGCCTCATTTAAAAAAAAGATAATAATAATTATTCAGTAAAGTCTATATTAAATATTAATAATTTAGTAACCGTGAATAAAGATGATGAACGCTTTTTTTACTTTTATACTATACAAGATTTGTACTTTTTACAAAAAATAATTCGAACGTTTAAAAACTCAATTTTTTACAAAAAATAATTCGAACGTTTAAAAAATTTTGAAAAAAATGGACTTGATTCTTTTTTAGAAAAACGCTCTAAATTCTAAAGACTTCCTAAAACTGATACAGAACAACAAAAAACAGATATTTTATGAAATTTGTATAAATATTTATTTCAATTATTCTATAAAATTTCTATATTAACTTTAAAAGTAAAAATTTTACAGATTTTTAATACAATTTCTAATGAAATTATAAAAATTAGATTATGAAAGATCTATAGACTTCAATGATTTTTATATAAATAAAATAATTCTCAAAGAGTTCTGTAGAAATTTTTCTTCTGGGATTTAACACGTCATTTTAAAATTTTCGAGCTACAGAAACTTTAATTCTAATCTCTTAACCTGACCAAATAAATAAAAAAATAATTCTAAATTATTCTTTGATTTACAAATAAATTTCAAATCCAACTTTTGACAGAGTTACAATACTTTACGTCGGAGGTTTTGCGATAATGAAAAAAATGTTTGTTTAAATTTTTGAAGTAATGTAATAACAAAAACTTATCTGTTTATAACTTCAGAGGTTTGTTCGTTCAATTCATCTTTTTAACCGAAGCTATTGTTAACATATTTGAAATCGCTGAAAATTTATTTGGATTTGATTGTGTAGCGATGACATCATTTTGACACTATTTATATCATTCTGACATCAGAGTTCATTACTCACAAAATTTTGAAAATCTTTGTTTTCAGTTTGTTTAAATATTGATTTGAAGTATTTATTTTTTACTTGCGAGTTAACCAACCACGCAAAAAGAAGAATCAAAATCGGAATCCAAATTAATACGGATAAAGTTTTAATAGAAAGCGGATGGTTAAAAAAGTTACCAATGTCTAATATTACATATTTCCTTTTAGGTTTTTTGCGATCCTGTTTTGCGAATGATGCAAGTCCTTCCTAAACATTTCATAACTTTATTAAAAATAAATAACAGTTTTAAGGTGCCCCCCCCCCCCTTCCTCAAGGCGTATGAACTACCTATGACCCAGTACCCAGTAAGCACAGATTGTTTCTAAAAAGGTTAAAAAACGTTAATATTCGGTTTTATAAGTTTTTTAAACGTTTTAAAAACGTCATGTGCTTACTGGGTAAGCAATAAACCTTTATTTGATGAATTTTTAAATTGCTCTATTAGTTTTGAAAAGAAAATTATTTTGAATAAATATTTCAACTGTAAATAAAAAAATATTTTTTCGGTTTTATTTGATGGTTTTCGTAAATTAATACATTATTATTAATATTTTAAATGTAACGCAAAAAAAAGTTTAGTTAAATTTAAAATTAGGAAAAAAATGGTCATGCATCAAATTTTGTTAATTTGCAAATTCAGAATGTAACGTGTGTTCGCTATGCTTTTGCACTAATTTTAGTTTTAATCTTCCCGAAATCAACTCTTTTTCTTACACCTTCGATTAAACTATTGTTGCGTAAACATAACAATAACAAGTTCAGAGAAGCATTTTTGTATTCTCAGAAGTTGATTAAATGGTTTAGTTTTCCCCCAAAGTCTTCATTGGATCAATCTTCTAGAAAATTGGTAGGGTTTTATTTATCGACATACTCAATTGAATTTTAAACCATCTAGTATAAAACGCGGATATTGAATAATGTGAGCTTGCAAAATCCAGCAAAAATATATAATTGCCACTTGGTTAGTGCTCTTGAATAAAATAAAACAGCCAAACACCAAATCAACCAGAACATATTCTGGTTGATTGCATCCCCACTCTGAATGATATACGGATCCAATATTCCACTATAAGACAGATCGAATTTCGATAAAACAAGCTTCATTTTTAACTAGACAACACTTAGGGATCGTTCATAAGTTATGCAACTCTAAATTTAGTTATGTATACATATATTTTATTTTGTTGATTTTGTAGATTTTCTTATATATATATATATATATATATATATATATATATATATATATATATATATATATATATATATATATATATATATATATATATATATATATATATATATATATATATATATATATATATATATAAGAAAATATATAAACAAAATAAATAAGAAAGTTTTACAACGCAAACAAATTATAACGAAACAAAAAGTTCTTTAAGTTCAATGAAAACTGTGCAGTAGAGCAAATATTTGACTTTTCAAATAAATTTAGCGTTTTTTTCAGAAACATATTCCAAAATGTTTCATCTAAATATTTGCTAAAAACTCTTAAACTCCACCATATATGAAGATGCCATGACAATTTTTTATTTTGTAGATTTTCTTTTCTCTGTTTAGATCTAAGTAATAAGTAAGATTTGGGTTTTCGGAAGTGATACGCTTACGTTTACGCTTACTTAAGTCTTGTTACGCTTACGTAAGTCTTGTTATGCTTACGTAAGTCTTGTTACGCTTATGCTTGATACCTTTAGTGAGCCTTAAATACAAAACCTTTAGAAACACATGGTTTTAAAAGTTCGCGTCATGCAGACTTTAAAAAAAAAATTTTATATTTATATCTACATTTGAATTTGCATTTAAAACAAAGAAACCAAGCTTATTAAAAGTTTGTGCAAAAACTTAGTGATCTCCCCTCATGCCTAAAATTTTACAAATTAATTTTCTTAAAAACCGTTGATTATTGCTTAAATCGTTATATAAGCAAAGAAACATCAATAGTTTAATAAATAGTTATATGCAACCATGGCCGTCCCGAAGAAGTATTACTGGAAGGGTTGGTGATATATGTATTTTTTACTAACTTGTAACTCTCTAACCCCCACCCGGACTCAAAAAGTTTCTTGCTTTCTGAAATTTGCCAACTAAAGGCTAAAGGTCCAAACTTGCCAACTAAAGGTCCAAACTGCAGAGTATTGTTTGAATAAAGTTTTCGTTGGAGTGATACATCTCCCGTAAAGACGGCCCCGATTGCAAGTTTTCAATTCAGATTGTTACTAGTCAGACTATTTGTACTTTAAAATTAAAAGACATTTTTTAGACGTAGATTTTCCTATATTTTATATAGGTAAAAATAAAATAGGAAGTTCCAGTTAACAGAAAAAGTGTCGGAGTATTTTTAATTTATTTTATACTTATATCTTATTAAACTTTATTTTTTTTCATCTATTAATTGTAATCTACGTCTAATGTTACATATTTGAAGCAATATTCAGAAAAATAGAGGTTATATAAAAAACAAAGGGAGACTTGGGGAGACTTAGGGAGACTTGGGGGCACCTTAATTATATTTAGCCATGGCCTACTTGAATTACAAGTAATTACAATGTAATTTAAGTAATTAAATTGTAATTTAGTAACTACATTGTAATTTAAGTAATTACATTGTAATTTAAGTAATTACATTGTAATTTAAGTAATTACATTGTAATTTAAGTAGGCCATGATTTAGCTTTAACTAAAAAATAAATATGATTTTAAATAAAAAAAATTTTAGTTTAAAATATTGATATAAAAAATAATAACAATATATTGAAATATATATTTAGTTAAATTAATATGTATCATGATAAAGTAATAATAACTTTTGTTTGTTGTTAATTTATAAAAATATTTACCCATCCACCGTTTTCTATTATCCATCCTTTTAACTTTAATGTGGTAAATAGTGTGGCCCAATCATAAATGTTGCGCACTAACTTATGACGACCATTTTTAATGCATTCAGCGGCAAGGTTTGCGGAAAATAGTAAAAAAGAAACGATCAAAGGCCAACTGATGCATTTCTCAAACATTGCTTCAGAAAAATTGCTAAAGAAATTATTTACATAAGAAAGATATTATTTTAAAAAAAGACTGCGATTTAAATATTTATCATCAAATAAACAAAACTTTATAAAAAAACAAAATATAATACAACGTAAAAAATGTTTTTTGCATATTTGTATATTACAACAAAAAACTTATTGATGTTGCAATATACGATTATGCAAAGTTGCAAGATACGAATCAAAATAGTAAAAAAAGTAAACTACAAGTCAGAAACTTTACTATATTCATAGTTAATTAAGACAAAACAGCCAAACAAGTAACTGAATTATTAAGAGACCATACTGGACAATTGCATAATCCCAGCAAACAATAGACGTCTTTTAGACCGTCTAAAATTGGTCTAATTTGTATCTATTGCCGATACGTATATTTTAGACGTATATTAGAGATCGAAAAGACGTCTGATTCTAGAGATACTATTTTTGCTCTGTTTTAGATGCATAAAATAGATAGTGCATAGATAATTTTTTTTTCATCTAAACTTAGTTGTCTATAAGATGTCTTTTATAGATTTGTAATATAAAAAAAAAAAAACATTTTAACTAGTTTTACGGAGCGATAATTATAAATGACCGCCATTTAAAAACCATGCAGAATCTTATTTCGAAAAAAGCATGAAGATTTTAACCTATGGAAGACATTAATGATTATTTCTTTTGATAAATTTTAAATAATAAAATAACATGCAATTATAGTTCACAAAATATTTCGATGATTTGATGCTTAGCATGTTTGCTAAAATCCTTGTGATTTGAAATTTATTTTGCAGAAATATTATAAAATTAATATTTTCAAGTTGATATTTTTATTTCTAGAATAAAAGATAATGTAATTAAAATATATGTATATATATGTATATATATATATATATATATATATATATATATATATATATATATATATATATATATATATACATAGGGAAAAGCAGGTAGGATTCGTACACTTTTTACACTAAGTCGTATAAAAGCAAAAATAATTACTATTTTAAAATAATTTTGATGCTGCTGAGTAACCTAAATATCTGGCTTTTATAATATTGTAGTTTAGTCTTGAAAAAAGCTAACAAGACAGTACTATGATGTCTTTTGCAAAAAAAATGGAGATCGTACGAATGCACCCCAAACGCGGGGTAGCTTCGTTCAGTTTTTTGTTCGGTACTTTATTACTAAGTTAAAAATATATTTATTGAAAATAAACATTTATTAAGTTTAAAACTGAAACAAAATAAATATTAAACATAATAAAAATAAAATTACATATCCTATATGCAGAGAATACATATTTTCTCAAAAGCTTTTCTAACTTCTCCTAGATATCAGTCACGACTGTCTGTTTAAATGCGAAATAAAGGCTGCGCGGGTTTTTTCATTCGTATTTACAGTACGAATCCTCCCCACTTATTACTGTACGAATTTACCCCAACCATATCAACTAACATATAAATTCAAAAAAAAAATAACGGATAAGGTTATTAGAAAACTATTGATTAGATATTAATATAAGACACTTATACAAAAAGCATAATAAATTATTTCATTAATAGGATCAAAAATTATTACAAATAAATGTTTTCAAAGATTGTTTGTAAAATTACTGTGCAAAATTCAATGTGCAAATTACAGTGCAAAAACACGTAACGACTTGTTCCAATGACGATTAGGATAGCACTACCACGGCACTAAGCTGTTCGCCTTTGAGCATTAGTGGTCTTTACACACACATAATTATAAATGTGTCAAAATGATTTCTTATCTTGCGAAAATCTAAAAGAATATTTTGACCATCATGAGTCATCGATTTTGTATAATGAATACTCTTATGACCAAAAGCCTAATGAGTATAAGCATAACCCAACTTTAAAGGAAAGTTTTTCTGCATGTTTTTCTAACCAAGTAATGTTGCACTAAACAAGTGAATTGACAAAGAATAGCAACAAATTTATTGTCCCAAAAAAAACTATAATCATGCACTGAAAAACAACCTTTCGTCAACAAAAGAATGGCACAAATTTCCATTGATAAAATGTAAGATAACAGATGGTCAGTATCTAACTTGTTTTGTGTTTTTTTTAAAGGTAACTTAATTACTTTTTTGTACCAAAATGTTTTATAATTAGATTCATTTTCATGTTGTGAAGAATACAACTTTCTACATCAGATGAGATATATGTTAAAGAAAGCATTAAAAATAAGAATAACAAATCATACCGCTCTTCATTGCCAAAACCTTCGCCACCTATTATGAATAAGCCCAATGCTAAAAGTGTATAACACAAATATCATAATTTTTTCTTAATGGTTTATAAACTGAAATAGATTCTTTTTAATTTAATCTGAATAGTATCTATCTAGCTATTAGCCTTTTTTTTTGTATTACTAAGATTTTCTTTTGTATTACTTTTATTTTAACTATTTGGGTGTCCTATTATATGTAATGTTGTTAAACTGGTTACATATATTTATATCATTGACAACATTCTATTTTATTAAATAATCCTTTAATCAACTTGATATGAAAATTGTAAATTGACTGAAAGCATGCTGAAATTGTTTGAATTCAGAAATTGAAAGAGTACAAAATTGGTTGAAAGATTAAATTAAGTAACAGGTATGGCTGAGGGATTATTTATATTTCTAATTATAATTATTTCTTTTGAATAGAGTTGTTATCAGATTCAGAGATTGAAGATGTTTTTTCTTCACATTTTATTGATGAACACAATAAAACCAAGCAAAGTTCACATTGTCAAAGAGTTTCAAGTTTTAATGTGAGTAGTTTTGGTTTTTAAACCACTGAATGTTAATGTGGAGGTCTTTTTTATTATTATTATTATTTTTTTTAATAATTGTAAAAGATAAGTATAAAAGAATAGAAATGGATTATCTATAATATTGTGATCTGATAAATCATGTGTGTAGCATTTGGTAAACTTTACCTTTACTAGTTAAACAAAATTCTTTTATATCGTAACCTTTTACAGGAGGAAATATCAAGAATTGCTCTTGAGCCAAGCCCAAAGAAAAATACACGAAAGTTATCACAAGGGCTGTGGAGTCCAAGTTGCGGAGTTGAGACATTTTCAGCAGAGTCGGAATCACTAAACAAAATTGCGACTCCGACTCCAATAGTAAAACTTCTCAGTATTGAACGTGCATGTACAAAACATTCAATTAACCTTATGTTCATACTAAACCTCAAAGAATGTTTCATAAATTTGTCAAAAAAGAAATTTTTAACTTATCCCGTAATATTTTTTAAAGAATTTGAAAAATTTTTCTAAAATAATGCTTTGGAGTTGTAATCGAAGTTGGAGTTGGAGTCGAAGTTGTGCTCAAAAAACTTCAACAACTGGAGTCAGAGTTGGAGTTGTACTCAAAAAGTTTCAACAACTGGTGTCGGAGTTAATACTTTTTTTTTACAACTCCACACCCATGGTTATCAGTAACGGTTTGACATAAATCTGAATATTATTTGTTGTTGTTTATTTGTCAAAATTAAATAAGAACTTCTGTAAAACTTGAAGTTTTAATTTATTTTCAGCGGGTTTACCTATAACTTAAGTGGATTATTTTTTTTTATTAGATTATTGTTGCAAAGTAGTTTATTTAGTCAAGATTATTTTTTACTAGGTTTCCAATCTGCCTCTTTTGCCTTTGTCTAATTCTACAGATAAAATTTTAGCTGATTTAAAAAATAGGTTTTCCAAAATATTATGGCAATCTCTGCGATGGAGTAATAAAAAAAATAACATGTAATTTTGGAATTTTAGTTTGAGTTACTCAAGCATAATTTGAATTTTAAAGTTGTTATTTCATTGTTTTGCTTTTTGGTTTTATGAGATAAATATGTTAATCAATCTTTTTATTCTTGTTTGTAGAGATGCAAAATGTTATTCTCAAGGAGCTTGCAGAAATAAGAGTTCTTTTAAAAGAAGTTATAGAAATTAAGTTTCAGGCTACTGGGGTGAAGTTGCTAGAATCAGTGGACGAAGTGGTTACACTGGATAATAAACTAAAAGATAAAACCGAGTATACTAATTAGGTATTATCTAATTATCTTAATTTTTAATAAGTTTGTTTAAATTTGGTTTATTAGTTTAGAATCTAAATTAAAATTACTTCACGGTTTGAAAAATACTGAGGTAAAATTACTGGAAAAAGCTTAGTCTCTAGAAACCCAATAGTAAGAAAAGCATAATCTGGCGCGAAATCTGTACCCATGGCTGTGCCAGTTGTTTAGTGAAATAATTGTTTATCAAATATAAAATTATTGTTATTTAAAATAAAAGATGGTGACTCAATTATGAATTCAGGTGTAAATCTTTTATCTATCAATTCTTTATATTTAAATATCCAGAACTTTAGGGCTTCTAAACCAAGATAATGTGGGATGCTTGTGTAAAGATTGACAAAGTCGCATGTCATTATACGACTTTCTGATTCAAACTCTCTTGTAATTTTTCTGAGGAAATCCCAGTCATCTTTAATGAAAGATTTTTGTTTCTTTTTAATTAGTAATAAAATTATATGTAAAAACTGGCTCAAACGAGATGTTGGCGAATTTATTCCGGCAATAATTGGTCTACCAGTAAAATCTTTTGGTGGTTTCATTTCAATGAATAAAGAGTTGGACTCTTACCTTTTTAATGATTTCTTGGCATTTGTGAATTTTAGGAATTACATTGAAATTACTAGATTTCTATTTAAAGTTTGTGATATATTTTATTTCATTTGTCCTGAGGTATTTATTTAGTTTTTAGCAATCTTATTAAATTGATAAACTGTTTGTTTATCAATTTAATAAGATTGCTAAAAACTATTTTATCGGATTCAGTACTTATTTTTTCATATGTATTAACAGAAAAAAGATGGTCTTGATAAACAAGTTTGTTAGTATAAAATGTCAAATCCATTACAACTAAAGTATTACCTTTGTCAGCTTTTTTAATGACTATGTCTTTCATTTCTTGTAATTCTTTAATCGCTGCTCTTTCTTCTTTTGTAATTTTATCAATATATTGGACTTTAATAGGTTTAGTTTGTTCAATTTGTGAAATAATTTCGTTTAATTCTGGCAGAGTGGTTTTGGTACAATAATTAGATTTATTTTTAATTATACTTATACCGCTACTTGTAGCACCATAAACTTTTTCTTTTAGTATAAGTTTCCTAGTAAAATTTTCAATATCTGAATCGATATGTAAGAAATTACCATTTGTGGCCGGGCAAAACTTTGGACCTTTGGTGAGAAGAGATATTTGAGAAGATGTCAAGTGTTTGGTGGATAGGTTGATGACCTTAGGTTGTATTTTTTTGTATTTGGGCTTGTCCAGTTTTTTGACGGTATTGATTTTGTTTGTTGGTCATGTTGGATGCCATCGTTATTTGATACAATAGAATTTATATCAATATTATTATTACTATTTTGCTATAATACCATAACAGCACTACTGATGATTTTTTGAAAGGCTTCTAGTGCTTAAACTTTATTTAATTAATTATATAAAAATACTTTGTATTAGTGTATAAAATTTATATTAATATTATTATTACTATTTTGCTATAATACCATAACAGCACTACTGATGATTTTTTGAAAGGCTTCTAGTGCTTAAACTTTATTTAATTAATTATATAAAAATACTTTGTATTAGTGTATTTTTTGGAAAAATAAAAAAAATATTTTTAGTAATAAATATTTTGAGAAAAAAAGATTTACTTTTGTTTACTGGCTTGACTATCTTTTGCTTTATATTGGTTAAAAATCATGTTTCAACTTGTTTCTCCGCGCACCGGCCTTGTTCGTCATGGTTCGTGTTTCGGAGTTATAGAGTTGAGAGAGGGTTATAACCACTATTAAGTAGCCTCCTCGTCTGTAGTGGCCTTCTCGCCTTGAGGAGGTGAATAATATATATATATATATATATATATATATATATATATATATATATATATATATATATATATATATATATATATATATATATATATATATATATATATATATATATATATATAAAATATTTCATAAAAATAGATTATTCAGAATTCTACATGTCTTTTAAAGTCATTTAAATGTCATTAATGTATATATTTTAGATATCGGCGACGTGGAAGAAGATGTTGACGGCAATGCAGAAATAGAGTTTCTTATGTATATTTTTGTGAAATAAAATTAAGTAATTTTAGTTAAAATGTTTCTTTACTTATTTAATTTAATCATTTTTTATGACTAATTTAACCGCTATAACACCTTTGTATCAATATCTAATATGCATCTAAAAACTGGTCTAAAAGACATCTAAATTCACGTCGTGAACGGAACATAAATAGATGTCTATCTTATAGATGTCTTTTAGATGCATTTTATTCGACACAAATAAATGCCTTAGATCCATAAAAGATGTAAAATATACATTTAAAGACATATATTAGATGTATATTAGATGCATAAAAGAACTATTATTAGCTAAAAAAATTATCTATTATCTATCTTTTTTAACCGCGCCTTAGACATCTATTTAAGAGACGTATTTTATACATCTAATATGCAACTGTAAAATGTATATTTCACATCTTTTATGCATCTATGGCAATTATTTGTGTCGAATAAAATGCATCTAAAAGACGTCTTTAAGATAGACGTCTATTTATGTCCCGTTCTAGACCTGAATTTAGACATCTTTTAGACCAGTTTTTAGATGCATATTAGATGCATTTTAGATATCTTTTTGTTAGCTGGGAAAGATAAGAATTTAAAGATGATTATCAAAGATTAGAATAACGGAGTAATCATAGCCTACAATTTCATTCTGTATTTGTACTAAAAATATCCTATTAAATTATTTCAAACATATAATAACTATAAGTATTTCAAACTAAGTCCTGATATAACTGATAAAAACTTCATTCCTTTAATAAATGACCTGTGATATAACTAATAAAGACTTCTCTCCTGTAATAATAGCAAAACATTGAAAAATGTTAAACAAGAGTAAAGTGATTGGACCAGATTCGTTAATCTTAAAGAAATATAGCGTAGTTGTTTCATATATCTTAAATTTTTTCAAAAAGTTACTGTGATTCAATAGTTCTTAAAAAATGCTAACTAACAAATGTGACATCTTTTTTCAAAAATAATAGTGAATTAGATCCGGCAAACTACCGGCTTATTTCTATAACGTCAGAATCTGGTGTTATAGAAATTAGCCGGTAATTCTGCATCTGATGTAGAACGTTTGTAGAACGTTTGTAGAACGTTTGAGAAAACGATGATAAAGAGGAGCATATATTTTCTACAAAAAATCTAATTAATAAAAACCAACATGGTTTTATTTTTTTTTAATCTTGTATAATCAATTTACTTGAAACAATCGATGAAATAACAAACATTAAACTATGAAATAACAAACCATCAACAAAGCCAAACAAATAAAAACTTAGCTGTCGTCTATTTTGACTAAGCAAGAGCCTTTTGTACGAGCCCAAAAATATGTTTTTTCAATTAAATTAATTAAAAAAGCTGAACAGTTTTTTGTTTAAAAGAAGAATGGTTTTATTGGAGTTGATTGGACATTGAAGTTGAGGTTGCTTCAGCTAAAATCAAATTAAAAATATATTTTATATAAATAAAGGAGTTAAAAAAGCTATGGGCATTTAGATAATATGAGCATCTAGGTAATATGAGCATCTAGGTAATATGAGCATCTAGGTAATATGAGTGTTTTTATATCAAAAGGCTTAGATGTGTGTGGTGAAGTATCTAGGTAATATAAGCATTGTATTTTTTGAATTGAATTCATGTGGTGAAAACAGAAAACAGCATAATTAGTGTAAATTTATACACAGTATTTATCACCTAATTAAAACGCAATTTTTTGTTTTATTAAAATATTATCATTACACTTGAAAGAATCTGCGAAATATTGAAATATAGATACTTATTTTTTATAAAGAAAAAAAACGTTAGAAAGCTAAATTAGCTAGAAATTCGTTCCACTTTTTTTTGAATAGGAAAATTTATTTTTGACTTTATTTAAAGAAGCATGCTCAAATTACCCAGTGTTTTTTATTGAATTTACCTAGTTTAAAGGTCTAAAATTGCAGTGGTTTTAATAGCTTTTTGAATATAAGCAAAACAAAGTAATAATTTTTAATATTTCAACAAAACTAAATATCAGTGCTCGCTGTGTTTTTAAGACAAAATTTCAGGTTCCTCAAAAAAGTGAACCATGAATAGTGGCTCCTAAAAATTGTTTATTTGCAAAAATTTTGAATTAAGCATAGTTATTTTTAAAAATATTCCGATTTTCCCTTAAGATGCTCATTATACCCTAATCTACCCTACTACAATAATCGGTTGAAGTAACTTTGAATAAATACTTTGAATGGGTAAGGTAACTTTGAATAAATACTTTGAATGAGTAAAGTAACTTTGAATAGATGCTTTGAATGAGTAAAGTAACTTTGTATAAATTTTATTGAATATATAAACTATTTAATTAGTTTTTATTAATTAAATAAACCACTTGAAAGTGCAAAAACCTATAATTAGATTAACTTAAATTTAGTTATAAGATAATAATTGAAAATGTAATATTAAATTAAAAATATTATTATATAATATAAAAATAGTTAACTCGTTCAAAGCTTTAAGGGATACAGTATCAATTACCCATAAAAATAGTGTTGTCTTTACTTTGGAAATGATATTATCAAATTAAATGGATAAAAAAAATGCAAAAAATGTACATTTAAAAGCAAATTCATTAAAACAGATTATTTGTACTACCTTTCGTTCATTATTTGTTTTAGAAATACTGATTTATTTAAACTAAATAATTTCTTTGCTTTTTTGACTCTCTAGTAATTGTGAACATTTTGGCAACATTTTGTTTTACAAACTAGTGTAGTGTTTGAAGCTTGTGATGTATGTGAAGTTATTGAGGTGTGGAGTTAGTGACGCGGTGATTACGTAAGGTGTACGTGAAAATATTGAGGTGTGGAGTTTGTGACGCGGTGATTAAGGTCGAAGCGTTTAACTAACCACAAATCCAAAAGTTTAAAAAAAAATTAAATCTAAAAAAATTGATACTACTATAAATGAGATAAAAATAAATTACAAAATAAATTACAAAATTTGTCTAAATTTTTTTTCAAATTGAACATGTTAATTTTAAAGCAAAAAATTAAAATAAAATATAAAGAAATTTAAAAGATCTCAAAAAAGTACGTAAAAATGGAATATACCTGTACGTTTTACATGCTGCTCTTTTGTCTACTAATAGAAAATCTAATTTTGCGCCAATATCATTATAAAGACCAGGACTTAATTTAAGTAACGAGTTTTTTAATTGTAAAATAGCAATTATAATGTCTACAGGGGGAGTTGGCATTTTACTGTCTGAATTATGTTTTTTCATCGGTGAGTGATCATCTGATTGCATTTTCATTTCATGATCAACTAACTAAAAAAAAATATCTTTTATATTACTTTATTTTTATCTTTCTTATATTTATACTTTCTCTATATCTATTTATACAATAAAATGTAAATTATTTATACGATAAAATGCCAGACTAACGCGTCATCGTTATTGCGTGTCTCCTTTCCCAGAATATTCGTTTTATTTCTACTTTTCATGTGCTACAGGATAAACAGAAATAAAAAATAAATAACGTAAGCAATCGGTTACTAAAAAGATAATGAGCGAATTATTTCAAAGGTGTAAACCATAAGGGCTGTTTTTAGATTTTTGCGTAGGCAAGTCCACACTATAAGAAAAGAGGGAGCAAGATGGCAAACGTTTTGAAAACCCTGGGTTTTGGAAAACTTACCGTCATGAAGCAATAATACTTAAAATAGTTGCTTTTTTTTTATTATAATGATTAATTCCTTAAAACAACACATACAGGTGTTGTTTTATGTGCTTATTTTTTCAAATTATTGTCACAAACACGTTGGAAGGCTTACGCGAATGCCACCGAAGCCTTTCTCAATTCTTTTACAGCTATTTTGATAGAATTAAATAAGATTAATGAAGATCTCTCTCAAAAAATTTAAATCCGGGCTGAATTTATTGCAGATAAGACAAAAAGTTTTGAATTTTTCTTCGTAGAAAAACATTTCGAATCAAAAAGCAAAGCTCTTCAAACAGAACAAATTGATCTCAAAACCAGTGGCGTAACTAAGGGGAGCATAACCCCGCAAGGGAGGGAGGGGGCAGAGGGGGAGGGGCGGGGAGGGGGAGATTTACAAATTTTACTCATATGAATAATATGACTGGTAATAATAATATGAGTGTTACCAATTTCTGTTTTATCAAATACATTTTATTAATTTATAATTTTTCACGTACCCCTACGGGCATTTTTCGGAGAAAAAATTGAGAAAAAATTTATGGAGGGCCCCTTTACTTTTTTGGCGGGGGGGGGGGGCTAATTTATAGTTACGTCACTGGTCAAAACTTGCGTTAAACGAAATAAAAGACAATTTTGATAAATTTAAAAACAAAGCAAAATCAATCTTGCCACATAATAATTATGCGGATGTTACAACGTGAATTCTTCAACAAAAAAGAATGGTAAAGATGCTTCGTGAAATTATTTGCTCGAGATGTAATTTCTCAAGATTTGCTTGAAATAACTTTGTATTAACGAATAAACTGATTGGCTTCATAGAGAGATAAATGAGCGAAGCAAAGTTTATAAAGAAGTTGCAAGGATATTTCACAAGTACGTCAAATTAAAATTCAAAAACTCTTATTCTAAACTTTATAAAACTTTGGTTCATGACAACCATGTATCTGTTTTCCGAACTTCGAAATCGCTCTTTGCATTTTTTTAACACTTATGATTGTTCTACAATGAGCTCGTTTTCAAAATTTAAAAAATTAAAAGTAAGGAAAGACGTACCATGCTTTAGGACTAATTAGACTTTTTTAAATTTATATTTCACGAATCAGATATTCTTCGTGAAATCAGTTATGATGATATAATCAATAAAGATAAAGGAAAAAAATTCGATTGGCCTATTGTATAACAAAGTCGATTTCTTATGTTGTGATATACTTTATAAGTTATTCTAATTTCATTATAAATTTATAGAATATACTTAATTTTTTTAAAAACTAGAATGTAATTTATTAAAAAAAAAATAATTACCAGATTTACGGCACTGTTTGTAATGTAAAATTACGATTTAAATACAGGACTCAGTGATAAAACTATTGTCTTTATTTTGCCCCGGCCACTCAAATATACCGGCCACAAATATACAAAAAAAATATATAATAATAAATAAATAAAACAAAAAAATAACGTCTTTTCGAATGTTAGAATTTTCTAAAATTTCTACGATTGAAGAAAAAGTTCGTTGAAAAATATTTTTAAAGAAGACTATCGAATATAAAATAAATGGAATAAATCCAAATAAAAGGTTTTAACTTGTGAATAAATCCAAATAAAAGATTGAAACTTTACTTTTGTTACTGAAACTTTGTTAAACTTGTTGAAACTCTAGCGTGAGAATTTATTCTCTTTATTGATTTTTTTTTTTCATTCTTATTTTCATTTTTAAACTATTAAAAATTAATATAAATAAACCAGAACTAAACCGGATTTAATAAAATCATTCAGGAAAAAAAAAAACGGCTACGATTAAAAACAACAGCAGATTTTTGAAGTAAACCAACTTGTTTTCCAAGCAAACAAGGAGGATCAAAACTATCCAATAAGTGAGGGGGTTGGGGCGATTTAGGTTTTTATAATATGGAAGATCCAGACCATTTAATTAGAAGAGCGATTTTCAGATTATACGATAAAGTATTTACATGTAATCAAAGTATTTATGTGTATAACTGACTGTTTGTTATTTAACCACTTTTGACTACATTTTATTCAACCATTCAATATGGTACTCGATGACTTCCTAGTCTTCTATGAGTTTCTAGCAACATTTTTTTTTAAAAAAGCATTAATATATTTTGAAAGAAACATTATCTATTAAAATACGTTACACTATGTTGTGTTGTATATTTTATATATTACAATATTTATTATGTCAAAGAATTGTAATGTAATTGTAAATATGAAGTTGTAGTGTAACCGTAAATATAATGAAGTTGTTTTAAAAATGGTAATAAAAAAAAAAAAAGTTGGTTTGTTCCATTTTTGCTGTTACTAAGAGATTTACAACCGGTAGTTTGAGAGATTTACAACCAATAATTTCACAAGTAAATGGGAAAAATGACAGGTTCAATCTTTTTTTTTTACATAAAGTAATGGCTCAAGCAAAGAGTTTTAGATTTTGAATATTTAAATTTTTGAAATATATAATATATACTATATATTTCATATGTCATATATTTCATATAATATATATGAAATATATAATATATTTTTAATACGGGTTGTTGTGGATACAATATGAATCATTAAAGTTGAGGGAAAAGGTAAAGGGGGAGGGTGTTTAACAATCGGGTAGATTGTTAAACACCCTCCCCTGTCCCTTTGATATTTTAAAAAAATTTTATATATATATAAATTTAAAAAAAAACAAAAACAGTCCAATTTTATAAAAATTATAAAAGAAATAAAACGAAAGCACAAAAAATCTCTAGTGACTATTAAAAATATTGACAACATCACCAGTACGTATCCAACGATTTCATTACCTTGGGTACCAAAACTGTCTCCCAAATTGCGTAAAGTGTTTAGGAAGGCAGGATATAAAACGGTTTTCAAATCAAACTTGAACCTAGAGGCAGTATTACCATTAAGAAGTAAATCCAAACTACAAATGAACAGCCACCCAGGAGTCTACTTTATTAAATATGATTGTAGCAAAAATAAAGGTGAAATAAAAATGCAAATAAAAACACGCATGCAACAACAAAAAAACAGTACAATAGGAAATAAAACAGAACAATCTGCATTAGCCACACCCATAAGACATTGTACACAACAAATTAACTGGGACAGTTGCAGGACTTTAAAAGTCGATGCTAAAATGTTTGATAGGAAAGTTCGTGAGGCACTTGAAAGCAGTACCACCAATGTGCCCCTAAACAAAATGGTATCAATTTAGATGAGGGACAAATATGTGTCAACAAAATTTTGGATACTATTTCTAGCGCACTCACGTCAGAAAAACCATCCAACTGACATAAAACAGAACTGCCGTTTTTTAAAATAACATATAAACAAAAATAGACTAAAAACTTTTAAGCTGAAGAGGCTGGTCACAACAATCCACCGAAAATATCTTTTAAAAAATAAATTTAGTATCGAGAGAAAATCATATTTATTGATATTTAATATAAAAAAAGCCCCCGTTTTAATTTTAAAAAGAAGTCTTAATCCGCCACTGTAAATATAAATATATATATATATATATATATATATATATATATATATATATATATATATATATATATATATATATATATATATATATATATATATATATATAAATATACATTTGTGTGGTTGTCTGTCCACAAATCAAAAAAATCTCAAAATTGACCTTCTTACTAAAATGATCTTGATTTATCAAACAAATAAAAACCTAAAAATCCCTTTTACGAGGTGGTCTGGGGTTAGGGTTAGTTAAAATCATTTAACAAATTTATATTTTTAAATATTTTGTGTTAGATTCTAGCCAAAACACAAACTAATAAAAATGAATAATCAAACCTGTTCAAGAATAGCTTGGGTTAAAACTTCGAAATCAGATGTTGCGTTTAAGTTTCCATTTAAACATCGCGACAGTCTTTCTTGACGAAAAATATGAATCCAAAGATTGTCATCGGGTACAAAGTTACTGCCTAAAGCACCTTGCATAATCTCACGAATCTAAATGTATTTTATCAAAGTAAAGTATTTCCTTGTTCGATCCTTTGTAGATGTTTTTATAAACGTTAGAAGCTAAACGCGTTAAAACGTTATAACTCTTGTGTACCTTTTTAAAAGCAATAAGTTTAAACCTCAAAATATACTTTTCTGATTTTTTTTTTTTCAATAAATAATAAACGTTCTACATCAAAAGAACTAAAAAGTTATTATAATTATGTTTTTTAAAATAAACATACTTAAGTTTTACCTTTATAACATTATCTTTAAAAGATGTTTTTTTCTTTCTTATAATCTTTGAGTCCATCGTAAGTGCGATTGTTTTGAATAATTCACAATTTAATATAAGCTTGATGTTTCAAATTTGTAATAACATTTTTTTTTAAATCAATGGTTTTGTAAATTGTTATAATTTTTTTTTTAAAACATCAAAGGTTTTATGCAAACAAATTAATTATGCATCCGTAATTTTTGTAAAATTTTAACAGCGATTGAAACAATTTAAGATACTTCAGTTTTAATATTGTTTTTTATTAGAAACAAGTTTTCTTATCAGTTAAAGCATTAAACTATTGATAATTAGCAAATTGAGATTATATTCTTTTGAAATTCCCATTGTAACGCTTTAGAACATAAAAAAACATTAAATCGTTCAAAACAAAAAAGAATGAGTAAAGTTCAACATAAAAATGTAGAAAAGTTCTGCATGTATAAAGTTTTTTAAAGTTCAGCAAAAAATATATTAAATTTTTGAATTTATAAAGCTTTTTCAGCAAACGTAGTTTAGTATAATTTTAACAGTAGATTTTTAGGAACACTCTTGCGTAATCGTTTATATGGTTGACCAAATTGGTCAGATTTTAAAATACAAAAAAAAACAACAAAAAAAATGGTCTTTAAGATTCCATTTTACCGCTCCACTTTTTAAAGCCGTTATAGTTAGAAACAAAGACGGATCCAGACCATTCAGTAAAAAGACGTGGTATGCAGGTTTTTTTAACTTGGTGAATCTATAATCTAGTAAGAGAGAAGGGCAATTTTTAGGTTTTTTTGATTTAGTGGGTTCAATTCAAAAAAGACCAGACCAGCTAGTCAGAGAGCAATACTTAGATCTTATAACTTGTGGACAGACAAGCCTACTAATCATAAAATACTTTTAGAATATTTTCTATGATTACCAGTTTAATACTATGTAAGTATATAATGACGTAGTATATTGTTACCAGTTATCCGATTTAAAATTTGCATCTTACAATTTTACTAAAGATTCACATCTTTTGTAAAAAGCCTGTCTAATTTTCTTCCTTTTTTTTCAAACAACATGCTGGAATAAATATATAGGAATACAAAAAACTATTAATTTCAAACAGATCCTCCCTTTCCTATTGATCCTCCCTCCTAGGTTAGAAACTAGTTTTAAACAAAGAGGGGTATAAAACAAATTTGTAGATAACTATGCTACGCTACCTAGAGCTAGTTTGTGGAACGTCTTTTTTGAAGTTCCACAAACTAGCTTTAATATTCAGCGAGTTGGCACAAGCTAACAATTTATATACTTTAAAAAACATTTAAAATACATGGCGAACATTTTGAAAACCTTGAGTTATTGCAAAACTATCAGCCGCGAACCAATAATACTTTCTGAGTATGTTTATGTTATTAAATGATTCATTGCCTGCATGAATTTTCCGTTTGCAAATATAACAATTTAAAATAAATTTTAAAATAAAAAGTTCATTAATTTGTCATCTGACCGAGGCAAGATGACTTATTATGCAATTTTTACCTCCAATTTTATAAAATTTTAAAAACTACCAATAACTCTAACTAAAGTAACAAAAAAACAAATAAAAAACAAAATAAAAGAAAAAAAAATCGCCAAAAACTACTTCTAAAGAAATTAAACTTGAAGGACACCATCCATTATGAGAAACCGAAAGTGAGGAATTTTTTTTTAAGCACAAAAAGTAAACTTATGCGTAAAAAATTGCGTTAATAATATTTCAAAAAACCGATTAGTATTTTAAAATACAAAATGCAAATACAGTTTCATTTTCACCCAATTTTTAGATTTTTTGTTGATTTGTTATATGAAAACCCTATGACTACAGTTGTATATGTAGATGTAGTATATACTTTAGTTATATAATAATGTTTAAATGTATAATACAGAAACTAATTTTTTTTAAAGGTCCGTAATTTACAGAAAAAGATCAGTTTCTGCACAATACATTTAGCATGATAGCATGATTATTATTATATAAACGCATATGAAAATGTATGTTCAAATACAGAACAATATGTAAGTTTAAGGGTAAATATAGAACACGTATTAATTATAAAACATAATTACGAAGACATAACTTTAAGAAACAATTACTACGCTACTCCCTACCCAAGAAATGGTTCGGTATATTTTCTATAATACGTAAATACGTATTTGATGAACACTTAAATAAAATTTTATTATTTAATGTTACTCCCTTTACTTAACTTTACGTTAACTTTAACTAAAGCACTTATTGAGATCAGAATCTTCAGGATTTGATGTTAAAGAATTGTTTATTAAGAATGGTCGGATATAAAACTATATTATAAAATATAACGTTGATGTAATAATGTGACAAATGCGTTTAAATATTGTTTAACAAGATATGTTAATCTCTCATACAAAGAAGCTTAATTTCAACAAAACAAAACAAAGAAATTAAAAAAATGTAAAACTTTGTTAAAACAGGAAGCGAATGCAGACTATGAATGCATTTTTACTTGATATAAAAGTCTCTGTAAATATATTTAGGATTTTAATTGACGTCAAGTTACTTAAATTTATTAAGTTGCGCAGTGTTACATCACATTATAAATAAATGCGCTTCAATTGAAAAGGTCAAACTCGTACAGCGGTTGTCAAAATTACCTGATTACTTTTTGATAGTGACTAATTATAAACAGATTGAATGTTAATTTTGTTGGACCAGATTATTATCACAAAGACCATAAAAAAATCGATGTTTAACAAATGGTTATCTTAACACTTTTAAACACTTAAATATTATTAATAACATTCAAATACATGTTATAAAAACTGCATAAAATAATAAGGAAATTCATTAGTTTCACAATATCATATATACTAATTTATTTAATTAAATGGTTTTTTATTGTTTTTACAATATAAAACAATTTACAACTATAATAACTTCTTCGTTTTAAGAAAGTTTTATCAATGTAACCAAGGTTTTTATCAATGTCAAATTGGCGATCTAGGCATCGTATTTTTTTTTTTTTTTTTTTATAACCTTAAAATGTTCGTCTAAAAAAATTAATCATTTTTTTAATAAAAAGAGATCTAGATGGTAAATAAAAAAAATAAAAAACAATTTTGAGAGGTGCCTTCTTTGAAATAGAAAGCTTTATTTTGAGAATTGGACTCGTAATGTTGAGGTAGTCAAGGCATCTAGTCTTTTGAGTACAACTTTTAATTTGCGGCAGTTTATTGAAGAAAAAACTGTTGTTTCTTGCTCAATTTCAGATTGTGTAGAAGAACCCACCTTATATCTGTATGCCCTTGTTGTACTCAAAGAATGAAAGATGAATACATTTTTTAGACTTTTAAAGCTATTAGTATCTTAAATTTTTTTACCGTAAAAGTTACGGTAATATTGTTTGTGAACAAATTAGCGACCCAATGATTGAGGATAGCGTAATAATGATAGCAAATACAGTTTCAATCTCATTGTTAGATAAAGTCAAAGAATAATTTTCAAGTAAACCTTTATATATTGATGATTTTTGTATAAAATTTAATGTAATAAAATTTAATGTAATAAAACAAGTTAAAATATTGATAAAAGACTGTTCCATCTTTTAGTCAATTCAGCTGGAAAATTATCTTCCATTCTGAGTTTGCAAATATGCTTAGAACTAGAAGTAAATCTCGGACCATATGGTTTGAAGCAAAAGTTTTAATTTTGACTTCTAGGATAAACTCTTACTTCTAATCTTTCTTGGAAACCGTATATCAAAACCATTGCAAAATTAACATCTTCTAAGGTTGCACCTCTTTATCGTGCTTGCCAATTTCTTACTCAGGATTCTATAAATCTTAAATCCGTCCTTGTATAGAGTACAGTTGCCATATCTGAAGCGGATCTTTGAATGATGCTCTTTCTCTTTTAGACACGGTGCAAAACCACAATGTAAACATAGTTGGATCTGCTCTTGCAGCCAACCTTTAACCTTTGTCACATTGTCGTAATGTTGCTTCTTTTTCTCTTTTCTATAAACACTATAATGGGCTCTCCTCTAAACACCTAGCGTCTCTTGTGCCATCTATCAAAGTTTACTCTCGCGTTACTTGTCAATCAATTTATTCTCATCCTGTTACTGTGACTGTTCCTAAGTACTTCAAAAACTCTTATTCTTTTGGTTTTTTTTCCTCGAACCTCAGTTTTTTGGAATTCGCTTTCTTCATCTAGTTTTCCTGATTCATATAATTTGCAATCTTTTAAGTCATACGTTAATTCTTGCTTTATAAACATCTTTTTTTTTTCCAGTAACTTCCAACTTTTATAGTGGTTGATTGTAGCCTTGTTGGAAGTGAAGATGTTAAAAAAATAACAATAATAACATTAGTTTTTTCAAGTCGTATTAGTATTTATTTAAAAAACTTTAACTTAACGTTTTGTGTTCTGAATTATACCCCTTTCTAGATAGACAAATGATTCTTTGATGCACGTTGATGTCTTCTTTCATATACTTGTGCACGACATTCTTTAGCACACGTTATTTACAACTCAAGTAAATAAATCATTTAAAAAAGTTACTTTTCGTATTTTTTATGCAAGGAATCACGTTATAATGTGAAAATCTCATCAGTAATTTTTATTCCTTTCCAGCTTTAGTAAGGCATTCAACATTATTGATATAAAAAAGTAAAATGGAACGTAAGTACAATTCTAAAATTGTCAGTTCATCTTCAATTGCAAGTTCATTTTTCATAACATTTCATCAAGAAACTTTTGAAAAAAAAATTTGAAGTTTGATGCCAGCTCCAGTGATGCATAGTTGGAATTTTAGTGTCATTTAAATTTTTTTTAAAACAAAGCCCCTGGAACTGATTAAATAAACGGAAACATAGTCTTAGAATACTTTAAAAAGTGAAAAAATGTTCTCTTTAAAGTTTTTAAAGCGTCAATACAATAAGGAGTTTATCCCGATCAGTTCAAAATAGCCAAAATAATCCCAATCTACTAAGAAGGAGATAAAACTAATATATGTAACTACCGACTTATCTCTATTTTATAAACATTTTCAAAAATCTTACTTTCGAAGATTAAAATTAGTTTCGTTTTAAAAAAGATATTTCTACTAAGCATGCAACCATCCAATTTGTCCGTGAAACCTCTTACTCTCTCAAAAATTCACTTTAGATATTTTTAGATTTATCAAAAGCATTTGATACAGTAAATCAAGGCATTTTGATTCATACACTTAAATATAATA